GCTGAGGGAGGGTAGGAAGATCAAACTGCTGCACCAGGGACTTTGCTTCTGCAGATTCCCTTGTTGGAGGGTGAGATCTCCTTCCCACATGCGCTGGACCACAACGATTGATGTGTGTGAACATTCCCAGTGTGAATGGCAGCAAACCTGCTGATGGCTGCAGGGGAACAGCTTCCTGCTTCTTGCCTGCCTGCTGTGTGCAGGCTCCAGCCTGGTCAATATGGCCCAGCAGCTGATGAGCACTGTAGTCACTAGGAATGAGTTGAGAGCAACCCAACCTTTAGCTCAGAGCAGACTTCTCCGTCACCTTGGGCATCACCTCTCCTGGTTGTCCAGGCTGTAGTAAATTGGATGTAACCAATTCCAAGCTCTAAGAGAGGAGGGAGGAAAACACCACTGGAACTTCTTCCCATGCAATGGTGATAGGGTAGGTTTTTTAAAAGCATTTATAACATCAGGCACTACTAAAAAATATGCCAGAAATTGGGCAAACTGTTAACTGGAACTGGTAGAGTAATTTTAGAAGTCTCAGGGACAACAGGGAAATGGGGCACTGAAGTGAGTGGTGTCAGGTATGGTAGATGCAGGTGCTACAGCCAGTGCAGAGAGCAGGAATCACAGTGTGAATGCTGAAGGACCAGCTCAGGGTAGTTGAAGGGAAATGGAAGGTACAGCTCCACAGAAAACAGGGAGATACTGGGCCTGGTGTATGGCAAGAAATAAGTTTGAACACAAGTGATAGAATAATAGATATTATTCAATCACTTGTGTGATTATCCAATATTATGTTGGAAAACCCCCCTAAGATAATCAAGACCAACCATTACCCCAGCACTGCTAAGGTCACCACTAAACCATGTCCCCAGGTGCCATATCCATGTCCTTTGAACATTTCCAGGGATAGTGACCACTGGAAAGGGGTGAGACAGAGAGGAATGGGGCACAATATCATGATGCCAAGAGGGAAAAGGACCTTGAAAAACAGAAAAATGTGTCATGATAAGGGCAAAAGAAGGATGCCAAGAAGCTCAGAATAGAAAAAACACCCTACCTGAGATAGAGAAAATTTATTTCTGAGGGTTAGCATTAGGATTAATCCCCTAAGCTCCAAGTAATCTCCTCCTTGCAGCTTCAGGGGTGATTTTTTTCCCCATCAACTTTTTGGAGCTCAGCGCAGGGTGAGTGTTGACCTCCCAGGCACAGCTGGAGGGTTCCACTGGGACACTGTTGGCTTGACTTTCAGAGGACACTTTTTCCAGATGCTCCTCCTGGTCCCACTGAGGAAGGGCAGCACTGCGCAGCCGGGGAGGGGTTGCTGGGGCTGGTGGCCCAAGGCTCAGGAGCAGACAATAGGGGTGGACAGGCCAGGTCCAAGACCTACATAGATTTTAGCAGAAGGTGACTGGGGCCACCTTCTTGCCATCCCATATCTCATCCTATCCCATTCTCCTGAAGAGAAACATGTGAGCTGGTGAGTAACCTTATTCAAACCAGGATTATTGAGCTACTTACATAAATTAAACTTCAGTAGCTCTGAGATGAACACGAGGGACACTCTTGTGTCTGTGTGTCCATGTCCCATTCATCTGACCCTTACGGTGACATATTTTCCCCGGGAGAATTTGGCCAGTTAAAGACACATTGCACAGAGGTGCCTAGTGACTGCCGGCCCTGGTGGCTGTGTGGCCTTTCCTGTCCCTGTCACCTTCACCAGGATTTGGGCCAGCCAGCTGCTCTCAGGCCCTGAATGTGTCCTGCTTGCAGCAGACAGCAGGAGCCAGCCAGCCCCCGAGCTGCTGCCGAGGCTGCCCGTGGAGCCCTGCCAGCCACTTGCCGTGGCAGACTTTGAGAACTGCTCCCTTAGACTCACTGACGAGAGCAGGGTAATGTATTTCTACTGGAAAATAAACATATCTCTAATGAAAACCTGATGCACCACTGGGTTTTTTTTTTGGTTCTTTAAGTGAAAATTAGAGCTTTTGTCTTGTCAGACCCAAGCCTTTCCTCATATTTGCCATGCCAGCCCATCATCATTATTTCTCAAGCATAAAGAGATCCTGGAAAACTTAAACACACAGAAAGCAGCATGAAAAATACAACCAAAAGAGACAAAATACACTTGGCTGGGAGTTGTGCTCTCCTCTTCTATTTTCCTCTTCTCTTTTCTTCTTCTCCTTTTCCCTTCTCCCCTCCCTCTCTTCAATTCTCTCCTCTCAGTCTCACCTTCCCAAGTGTGGGCTTCCTGTGCCACACCTGGCAAGAGACTTTTCCAAGGTTTCAGGTGTGGATATGAAGCTTCTGTGCCTACAGCTGAAGGAATAGGAACGACTTTGTAACAAACAGAGTTTTGCTCGGTATCTTTACATCTAGCTTTGAGTTCAATTAGTTTTGCCTGACACAAGCTAAAAGATAAAATACTTTGTCAGATGAAAAACTTTGTTGGTAAGAGAGCATCGCTGATGCTTTGCTGGTACTTGGAGTTTACCTGCTGACTGCCTTCCAGTGAAAACAGTATCAAACATGAACTAAAAATGCCCTTTTACTTTGTTACAAAATCTTCCAGGTCTTCCATAACTGGCAAAGGGATGCCAGATAAGGAAAAGAAGCAAAATTAAGCAGCTGATAACCACTTTAGCCTTTCAGAAAGTGCCTTTAACATCTCATATTTCTTCTCACACAGAATTATTTTGATATGGGATATGTACCCTTTCCAACTTGAAATCCTTTAATTAAGGGCTAGACTGGGAGCTGGGCTGTGAGGAAGGGAAGGGAAGGGAAGGGAAGGAGCCTTTGGCTCTCCTGGTGGACCTGGCAGACAGAATGAAGCCTTAAATCTCCTTCCCACCTTCCCAGGAGCTTGTCTTAGGAGGACCTTTCCCCCTTGGGAAGCTCAGAAGAATACCAATGAAATGCTTCACAGTGGCTAGCACAGGAGCAGAGTAGTTAGCCCACTGCAGTCTTCGAAGCCCCCTGGAGATATTGGTGCTTTCCGCCTCGCTAACCCTGGAACATGCCAAGGACCATTTTCCAGGAATCTTGCCTCCAGAAGGGGAAATCTTCTCTAGCCCACCCTGGAGAGGCTCTCCCCTCCAACGGGGGACCTGTTGAAGCAAGGTGAGGGTGGCCAGAGCTAAGACATCTTTGCCTGGGGCTGGATGATTAAGAAGCATGTTCATAAAGTCCAGGGGACAGCTGAAGGAGTTAAGTTACTTGAGTGCTTTGGGATCCTTCAGGATGAAAAATGCTGTATACATGTCGGATTTTATTATTACAATTACAGTCAGATGTTAATCACCCCACCAGGATTTACTCAGGCAGCAGTGCCAACAGCAGTACATCTTGCTGAGTAATTGCCCCCTTCCTGACTCTTGGGTGTCTCTGCCCTGAGCTGCTTCTCATTTCTGTGTTTGCTTTAGTTCTGACACTGCTGAGAGAGCTGCATTTTCCCACCCAGCAGCGAGAGATGGCAGAGCACATCTTGCACATTCAGGTTTTCTTCACTTCCAGCACTGCATGTGCATCGGGGTCAGAAAATAGATAATGAGAACATTTCACGGATAATATTCATCTTCAGGGGATAGCAATACCCATCTCTTTTGCAAATTGTTGAGAGCTAATGCTGAAAAAGCTGGGAAATGATACAGTTTCATGGGTCTAATTGCAGAGTATGTGTGAGCCAAATGAGTGAAGAAAAGCTCCAAGTTCAGCAAACCAAGCTGGGATCATGAAAGCAGAAATACAGAGTGAGGGAAGAAAGGCCAGATACACTTTTAAACTCCTGCACACAGTAAATTACTGGGGTGCACTGGGATCAGCTCCCACACTGGCACAGCAGCTCTGTCTCCCCAATGTCCAGCAGATGCTCTGACTCTATTCAGACTCAGGACTGGATGTCCAGCCTCTCTGTTTTAGGGGGATTTGTTTATGTTTCCTGTCTGAACGCAACATTTGGCATTTCTGGGATGATGAAGAGATAGAAGCAGGGGAGATGCTCTGTTACTTAGTCTAGTAAGTGGAGCCAGCTCTGTACAACACCAAGCATGTGCCAGAGGGATGTTCTGGGATGACCTGTTGCTGCAGCCCCTCACTTTGCTAGGTCAGAAGCACTCTGTGGTGAGAAACCGGCCCCATGATGCACCTCAGTCCCTCTGCACCCCTCCTTGGCTCCAGTGGGTAACTGGTTATCTCATGGCTTTGGGAGAGAGTGACTGGCATGGGCAGGAATGCTCTTACACACTGTCAGCCTGGAGGAACCAGCTGTGTGTCCAATTTCTGGATATGGTTCAAGTGTGAGCTCAGTGCTCAGCAATGTGGAGGTAAAGGAGGTGAGGAGGGTTTGGGGTTTCGCACTGTTGACACACACCAGGCTGACAGTCTCTGTGCCTCAAAAGCTGCGGGTCCAGCTCTTCTCCAGAAAAAAGATGTAGCCCCACACAGCTGAGAAGGAGGTGAAGGAAGAGCCAGTGCTTTAACCTGGCTGGTTATCACGCCATGCTGGACTGAGGGATGCAGGGATGCTTTCTTGAGTGAGAGTAATGCTCCTGAAAGGCTGCAGACTCCCTTGCAGGAGCGTCTCTCCAACTGAGATGCTGATGCTGGAGCGCTCCCACCCTGATGTGTTGTCCCAGAAGGCCTCTAAGGACATGGCACTCTATTCTACTAAAGCTCTGCATAAAGCTGGAAGGTGGTTTGATGGCGGCTGGGCTCTTGTGGAGAAGCAGACGTAGGGCAGCAAAGCAGCTGTGGAAGGCAGAGGCAGAGTGAGGGTCCCGCTACCCGGGGTCCGTGCGGTGCCCGGGCTGATGCAGTGTCCCGCTGCTCCGGGGCATCGCCTCCAGCCTCGTGCCGTGCCCGCTGCTGGGGTGACAGCTCCCGGCCGGCCCGGGGCCGGGACCGCAGGTGGGACGCGGCTCGGGAGGGAGGTGGGCGGCTCCGGGGGTGGCGGCAGGACCCGGCTGTCATTCAGCGCGCGGCGAAAGTGACAGGGGGGCGGGGCGGCCCCGCGCCGGGCGCGTATTTAACTTGGGCGGCAGCGGCGGCGCGGCAGAGCGCGGCGGGCGGGAGGCGGCGGCGGGCGGGAGGCCGTGACACCGGGCGACACCGAGCCGCGCCGAGCCGAGCAGGCAGCACTGGGCACGGAACGGCGCCGCGGCTGGATGCGCTGAGCGCGGTGGGGACGACCGGGTCCCCAGAGCAGCGGCAGCAGCAGCGGCAGCAGTATGGGTCGCCGGGGCTGCTGAGCTACGGCCGAGCACGCCCCTGCCCGTCCCCGCCGAGGAGCCGTCAGGGAATCGGGACGCGCCGCCTCACCGGTGCCGGGGACACCCTCCTGCCCTCCAGCCCCACCACGCCGAGGATGCCCCGGGGGCCCGCGGGCCGCCCCCACCGCTCGCCATGAGGAGGAACCCGGCCGGGCCGCGGGCGCTGCCGCCGCCGCCCGCCGCCGCCTGAGCCCCGTGCCCCGGCCGTGCCCCGGCCGTGCCCGCGCAGGGGCCGCCCGAGCGCCCCGGCGCCGTGACCCTCCTCCCGCCCCCTCGCCCGGCGCGCCCGGCTATAAAGGAGGGTTTTATTCTCGGGCTCCGGTCTCACGCCAAACCCTGTCACACCGTCTAGACGAGCTGTCGTGGGGCTCGGCCCAGCTGTCACCATGGCGATGGAGACGAGTCCGCTGTGAATTTTGGGGGGGAGCGAGAGAGCGAGAGCGGCGGCGGCAGAGGAGGAGGAGGAGGAGGAGGAGGAAGGCTTGGCCGCCGCCGTGCCCTGCCCTCCCCCGCGGGGGAGGCTCGGACCCCCCGGCGCTGCCGACCGCGGCTGGAGCCGGCCCGGCGGGGAGCCCCGGGAGCCAGCGGCCGCGGCCGCGGGGCGAGCCTCAGATGCGGCTGTCACACAACCCCGGCCGGGCTATTTAAAGTAACGGGCCCCGTCGGACACTGGTGTCTCTGCCTATTTATGAGCCCCCGGGAGCCGCCGGGCGCCGCCGGGCAGCGCTAGGAGCCGAGGCCGCCGGGAGCAGCGCCGGGGCCCGCCCGGAGCATGACGGCGATCCGGGCGCTGCTGCTCTGCCTCTGCCTGGGGTTGCCGGCGGGCGGGCAGCCCTTCCTGCGCCTGCGACCCTCGCCCAGCGACAACCTGCCCGTCAAGGACATCGTGGAGCACCCGGACCCCGAGTACGACCCCAAGGAGCAGGACCTGGACGAGAGGACGCTGAGGAAGAAGCTGGGCAGCCATTTCGACCCCGGCTTCATGGCCGTGGCCGTGCCGGGGCCGGCCAACGCCTCGGGCGCCGCGGCGGCGGCGGGGCGGGGGCGGGCCTGCGGCGGCTGGAGCTGGGGCCGCCCCGGGGCCCGCGCCTGCGGCTGGGCAAGAAGGCGCGGCGGAAGGTGCTGCAGTGGCTGTGGGCGCACACCCACTGCCCCGTCTTCTACGCCTGGAAGGACCTGGGGGTGCGCTTCTGGCCGCGCTACATCAAGGAGGGCAACTGCCTGGCCGAGAAGTCCTGCTCGCTGCCCGAGGGCATGTTCTGCAAGCCCGTCAAGTCGGTCACCAAGACCTTCCTGCGCTGGCATTGCCAGGGCTGGTCCAGTCAGAAGTACTGCACCTGGATCCCCGTGCAGTACCCGCTCATCTCCGAGTGCAAGTGCTCCTGCTAAGCCTCCCCGGCCCCTTGCACTGCCGCCCTCCTCCTCCGGATCACTTTAGTTTTTGGGGGGGGGGGGTTTTGTGGGGTTTTTTTGGCATAGTTTTTTTGGGAGGTGGGGTTTTTTCCCCCACCCCCCAGAGCGAAGTGGGAGAAGGTGAACCGCTTTGGAGGTTTTTTTGATTTTGTTTTTTGGGTTTCTTTGTTAATTTGGGGGGAGGGGGAGCTTGTTCGTTTTTGTTGTTGTTGTTGTTTGATTTTTTGTTGTTAATTTTTTTTTCACTTGGACTTCTTTTAATATTATTTTATTCAAAAGGGGGGAAAGTAAACCCAGGAACTGCAGGGCAGGCCAAAGGCACAGTAAAGCACTACAATCAGATGTCTATTTTTATACGTATATAGCCTTCTAACAAAAGGAAAATTTAAAAAAAAAAAACAAAAAACCAAAAAACCCTTAAAAAAAGGAAAAAAAAAAAACCTACCAGCCGTGTAAATAGAGAGATTTTAAAGGAAAAGGGGGGGAAATCGCAGCTGTTTTTTTATTATTATTATAATTATTATTGTTATTATTATTTTAAAGACATAGGACCACATTTTAAACCCATCCCCACAGAACCCAAGCATTTCCCTGCCCAAGGGAAGGGCAGAAATTTCTTGTAAAAATGTTTTCATCAAAAAGAGAAAAGGGGCGGAGGGTGCAAAAAAAGAAAAACACGAACCGCAGCATCCCCGAATGGTTGTTTCTCTGTGCTGTATTTTTTTTTATCTTCTTCAGACCTTGTCACTGATGTTTGAACTAATTTGCCAAGCTCTCTAGTGGTTTTTTTTTAAAGTGTATAACAGTTAATTAAGAAGGAAATTTTAAAGAAAAGTACAAATCTATGAAAGAGTGGAATTGTTTTTTTGTGTGGGAATACATATAGTCGTGTAGAAATGTTAAAAGGAAATTTTCTGTGTACAGTTTATTTATTTTTAACGTTTGTGTATAGGAAAAAAAAAAAGCTAGAGATTATGCCAGAAACTATTGGAAATGTTTACTTGAATATTCCTTTAAAAACATATCAATGTAAATATGAGCTATCACTGATCAAACATTTTTAGCAATAAACTCTATCTTTGAAGAAAAACCCCATGCTGCACTCCAGCTCTCTGGGAGACCAGCAGAAATTCGGATTCTTACTCAGAGCAGGTGCTGAGTAAAGGGCTTTGCCTGGGCCACGCTGGTGTAAATCACGAGATGCCCCAAAAGTCGGGACAGCTCCTCTGGTTTCTGTCTCTCCGGGATTCCGCTCTGGGATTTCTTTGCGCATGTAACTATAACCTGTTGGGGAGAGAGAAAAACACCGACGGGAGAGAAATGTCTCGTAACGCACAAAAGAGCTGAGATGTCCCGGACTGGAGGTGTCACCTGAAGTCCTTGGGAGATTCCGCGCTCTGCGGCTCTTGGATTCGGCTCTCCCGCTGGCAGAGGAAGCGGTCGAGGTTACTGCCCCGGCCATCAAAGCGCCTGACACGACTTGGCAGCCCCGCGTGTGTCGGAACAAATGTTTTTTCTCGGCTGCCGCTACTAGCGGAGGAGGGGAAGATGGAGAGGAGCCCTGCGCCCCGACCTGCTGCCGCGACGGAGCCCCGGGCCCGGCATCCCTGCCCGCAGCGTCGCTGGGTGCGTGCGGGGCTCGGCAGAGCCCGCGGTGCCCTGCAGTGCCCGCAGCTCGTGCGCTGGTGCCAGGCCGATCCCCGCACTCCCACCGGAGCTCACGGAGCCAGGGCAAGGCAGAAACGGGACGGCTCCGCCCGGGGGGCTCCGACAGCCGGGCTGTGGAGGACCCGGCACAGGAGAGCGAGGGCACTGGCAGTGTGAGCCCGCTGCCGACGGAGATCTGTCTGTCTGTCTGTCGGTCACAGGGCTTGGAGCACAGCCCTGACGGGCTGCCAGGCCATTCCCCTGCGTGTTCTGCTTGGGCTGCTGGTGCTGGAGGGGAAGGTCTGGCCGTTCCCACTGGTGAAGGAAACCTGTCTGAAACATGCCTGAAACGTGCCCGGTATCCCTGAGGAACAAATCCCTGCTGCCAAAGGCCCTGGCCAGTGAGGAGATGTTCTCCCCCAAGGCAGCTGTGGAGCAGCAAGGAGACCCTCCCCCCCTCCAGCTTAGCATGCGGCACAGGAGAGCAGAATTACACCAAGCCTATGGGAAGGCACCAGGACCCTCCAAGGGGTCTGGCTGGTATCCCTCCATCATCATCTGAGGGAACTGAGGTCCAGCAAGTCCCGTGAAGCAGGTCTGCAGAGCCTGGAGATCATAGATTGAAGCTGAAACAGGGAGAGAGTTGTTGAGATGAGCATGATGGGGACAAGGCAAGACGGACAGCAACATCCCATAGCCCAGAGCCCTGCAGAGCCCTGCAGCCATCCCCTCATCCCTGTTTGAGGAGGCAGGTTGGCCTTTCCACACATTTGTCAGTGAGGGATCGGGGAAGGGGGAGATGCAGAGAGCAGGGTGAAAACGAGACTTTGGCAAAGACAATGTGCAAAACATCAGGGGCATTTCAGAGAGAAAGGGGAAAGCTCATTTTGCAAGAGGAACAACATCTGTGGTGTGGGGGCCGAACATCTGTAGGAGGGAGCATGGGGGGAAGGCATTCTGGGAAAATATTTCTGACATAATCCCAACAGTATCTGGTGTGTTGGGATTTGGTTACAAATGGCCCTCTAACGTCTTTGTGCGTTTTGTTCTGCTGGTTCCAGGGGCACACAGAGACCCCTGCTTTGTGCTAACCTGGGAAATAAACCATTCGCTGGGCTCAATGGCTGAGTTCAGTTGCGTGGGGAAGGGGGGCTGGGAAAGGGGAAGGCGAGATTTGTGTGAACTCAGTGAAAACCAGCCTAAAAGCCTCCATGCCATGTGCTGGAGGGAGGAGGGGTCTGCCTCCATCTCTGGGGAGAACCAGTAGTCCCGCTTGAGAAGATGACTTGTCTGGAGGTGAAAGCATGAGAGCTGAAAGCTAAGGTGCTTGGTGAGGGCCAGAACTGGGGAGCAGAGGGCAGCTGTGTGCCAGCCCACCCAGCTCTGCTTTGCCAGCCTTCCACAGCGCTGGACCATGGTCACCTGGTGCTGGCGGTGCAGTGCCCTTGTGCCAAGGAGTTGGGCTGCCTTGGGAGGCAGCGAGTCGGACGTGTGACGGCCGGGCCGTGGGCGTGATGGCTCGCCTCAACTGCCGAGCCTCAAAGGGGAGTAAGACAAAGGGGAACAAGCCTGATTCTTTGGTGTGGTTGTTGCATTGTCTCCCCAAGCTGCTTGTGATTAAGGGATGAGCTGCAGGGGGAAAGGGGCAGAACAGGCAGAACCGGCAGAACACCGAGATGTGGTGGGTGCCAGCTTCTGAAGACACGGGCTTTCCCAGAGCGTTCTGGGGTCACAGCCTGGGAAAAGGGCTGGAGCACTGAGGGTGGGTGCCATCCTCTAACTCAGGTCCCTCCTGTCATTACACTGTCAAAAGCCATGCATGGCCACAGGCACTCACTGATAGGGCTGTGCACCTCCATTCCTGGGCACCCAGCTGTTCCTCCACTTACCTGGTGCTGGCAGGGGAACCATGCCCATGCCCTGTGGAGCTGCAGTGAGTCCCACGCTTTGCAGTGTCCCTTCTCCACACTGAGTCTCCACGCTTAAGTAGAAGGTGGTTATCTGCAGGATCAGCCCTTTAACCACTTCTTCCTTTGGGCAGGGCAGAGCACACGTGATGAAGGAAGTTCCACAGGACCAATGGATGTTCCGTGTCCTGCAGGCACATGTGCCCCAGCACTGCAGGAATGCAAAGGCACCTTTCTTCTCCACAGCCAGCACTGGCCAGAGCTCACCTGCTACAACACCATGTGCTGTTCAGGGGCAGCTCCCTTGGCTGGATCACAGCTGGATCTCTTCCTTGTAGCCCTACAAAGCCTGACTGAAGGAAAGAGCCCCTCTCTCAGGTTTGCAGAGGTCTCCATCTCTTCCTTCTGCATGTCAAGGCCCTTCTGTCACTTGGTGAATTGCTTTAGTATTCATGAACCCCAGATTTAGATTATCCTGATTCTCTTGGGAGAGAGAATGAGTTCAGGATGGCTCCTGACATTTGACTCGATGGGATGAAGTCACCTTTCCATTCCTCTTTCACATCCTCGTTTGGTTTTTGACTCCAGCAGCAGGTTAACTCTTTGTCTCATTGGCAAAGTTATTTCATCCCGATTTTTCTGCCCTGCCTCTCCCCATTTAGCTCAACTAAGGCCAGTGTGCAGGAATGCAGTTTCTGTCAGCACGCTGGCTCTGCCAGGGTAACTCAGATTCATGGGGCCAGAGCTCACAGATGTTCAGTGCCACCTCTTGAGATATCTGACTCAGGCCCAGGTGATGACCTAGGCCCATCACTCATCATTCCTAGAAAGGCAGATAAATGGACTGGAGGCAGTAATTGCCTTCCTCAACCTTTAAAGCCCATGCTAAACCTTTTCTTAACATGCAAAATTGTGTTCATCTCCTCCTCCAGGCCAAGCCTTTGTTGTCAATCACCTTTGCAGCCTGTCATGGCCACCAGGAGCTATCAGGGAAAGCCAGTCTCTCTGCACACCCTGGTCTAGCAGCAGGTCCCTGGTGAGCTCATCCTGCTGACTGCTGCTGGTCAGGAGCTCCAGCTGAGCTTCTGGCACTCACTTCCTCAGGCACTCCCAGCTCCTCGTTCATCACCTCAATGAAAATCAAGCCACACTGCTGAGGTTAATAGTGCCAGGGTGCACTGTGCTCAGTGATCTCAGAGGTCTTTTCCAACCTCAGTGATCCTGTGCTGACCACATGTGTGCCCTGCATGTTGGGCAGAGTTGGGCTCATCTCACCATCTCCTCACGGCTACTGGGTACAAGTGTGGGGGTTCTGCTCTCTCTGTGCAAGACTCAGGATTCCTTTCTGCTCCCGTGCTGTGTCCATGTTTGCTGTGTCCATGTACAGCAAACCCAACCACTTGCTCAGTTGCTGCTCGGCAGAGCAGGACCCTGACCCCTCTCCGTGACGGAGTGTAAGGCTTTACTCACTGACACTCC